GGGGGCCCCGCCAGCCAGCAGCAGCAGCGGAAGGCCGCAGGCGGCCATGGTGCACAGGAGCAGGGGCAGGCAGGAATATGTGCGCACCCGAATAAACCCCGCCCCCACGGGCTATACGGGATTTCTAAACTCAAACGGCAAAAACCTTGGGGCATATTCGGTGCAGGGTTTATTTGGGTGCAAGGTATATTCGCTAAAAGATGGTATATTTAAAGAGCTTGATTTTTTTCAGTGGGGCTGGTGCTGCTGTGGCAACTCGGCTAGGACCAGGTCAACTCAGCCTGGGCCATGTGCACCCCAAGAGCTGGCCTGCTGCTGCCATAGCGGGGCTGTGGCTGTGTGCCACGGTGTCAGCAGTAGGGCTGGGGTAGCCATGCTGGAAGAGGCAAGGACTGGCCTGCCTCCTAAGGCCTGTGAAAGTGAGGGATCATTGTCCAGAATGGGCTATAGATCACTAATGATGCATTGGAGAGGTTTTAGCTGAGGACTGTAGGTGATGGCCAGTAGTGTTCTGTTGGTTTCTTTCTTGGACTTGTCCCGTAGCAGGAGGCTTCTGGGTACACGTCTGGCTCTGTCAATCTGTCTCCTCACTTCCTCGTGTGGGTATCGTAGTTTACAGAATGCTTGTAGGGTCTGAGTAGAGAGTCCACATAGCCAGACAGTCCTTCAGTGAGAGTGCCATTGCCCAAGATGATGGAGTGTCCGGGATTTCCAGGTTTGTGGATCTTGGGTAATAGATAGAACAACCCTGGTCCGAGCTCTAAGGGTGTGTCAATTTGTTCCTGTGCTTGTGTAGGGAGTGTCCTGAGCAGATGGTGCAGTTTCTTAGTGTATCCCTTAGTGGGATCTGAGGAAAGAGGCCTGTAGAATTTGGTATTGGAGAGTTGTCTGGCAGCCTCCTTTAGGTAGTCAGGCCTGTTCATGATGACAACAGCACCTCCTTTGTCAGCCTCTTTGATTATAATGTCAGAGTTGTTCCGGAGGCTGTGGATGGCATTGCATTCTGCACGACTGAAGTTACCAGGCAAGCGATGCTGTTTTTCCACAATTTCTGCCTGTGCACGTCAGCGGAAGCATTCTGTGTAGAGGTCCAGACTGTCATTTCCACCCTCAGGAGGAGTCCATGTGGAGTTCTTCTCCTTGTGCTGTTGGTGGGAAGGTATCTGTGTGTCAGTGCACTGTTCAGTGTTGTGTTGGAAGTATTCCTTGAGACAGAGACGGTGAAAGTAGGCTTCCAGATCACCGCAGAACTGTATCATGCTCTAACACTTCAGTTAGTCTATAAGGTGCCACAGGACTCCTCACCGCCATTACTATTAGGCAACTATAACTTTCCCTTCATTAAATTCATCCTGCGGAATTAGATTTTTAAAATCAGAAAAATATATGAAGAGCTAGGCTTTGTGTTCCTGGGGAGACAATTTTAACAAGTTTTTTTTTTTTCCTGTGTCCACCTCTCACTAAATGTTTGACCATGAAAGTGCTATGAGGCAGTGTCCTGGCATATATGATGGCTCAAGGGCTTTCCAAGCATAACTCAGCAGGTCTGCAAGCTCTGGCAAGGGAAATGCTTTTGCCTTGTAGGTCCAGGTTGCAAGAGACTGACAGATTCTTATGTTCTTGGTGGCTTATTTAATTGAAATGCTTTTGATTTAAAACAAGAATTAATGTTACATACTCCTGGGGCCCCAGATTGTTAGTAGGATCAATTCCTTTGTTACTGCTGAGATGAGAGTTTACAGTTCTGTGTATCCCTTGTGCCTGCTAATCACGTCCGGCAAATAGCCTAAAAGAGCCAACTGCCTGAACTACTAAAGCTTCATTTGATTAGGTGAGGATCTTTGCTTCCCTTTAGAGTCCATTAAGGGAACTTTCCTTGCAGGATTGGGTTGTCAGCAATCTCATCAGCTGTAGTTGGGGAAACATGGAGACTTGCTAAGCAGCGGTACCGATAGCCACAAATGGCCTTGGGACAAGGGGTGTGTGTGGAAGGGCCTCCATGCCCCAGAAAGGCCTGGGCCTCAAGCAAGTGGGGTGGGTCTGGAGGTAGCCAGTCCTCAGGACTGCTTGGGCCATGGCACTGGGCCCCCAGCCTCAGAGACCTGCGGAGCATGTGGAGTGACACTCTGGCAGTGATTCAAAAGGAGGCCAGTTGCCAAGCAAAAAGATTTTCAGTTGTTGTGAGGAATTGAAATGGAATACGAAGCTTTTACCTTTTAAAAAGTGGCTGAAAGTGACCTGAGGTTGTTACTGTCTGATGGCCATTTAGAGGCCTATGTTCTACAGTCCAGCTGCAGATTACAAACTTGCCACCACTATTACCATGATTGTGCCCCTGTTCAGTGAGACTAAGAGCTGAATGGGCCATAGCAAGTGAACTTCCATCTCATCTGTTGTTGTGGTTGACTCGCATTAGTGGATTCCTTACACATGCACATACACTCTTGCTTCTACACCAAGCGTAGTTATGCTTGAGGTATGACCTTGGACAAGTAGTTTAGCCTCTCATTGCCTCGGTTTCTCTGACTGTAGAATGGGACTGATAATATTTGCATCCCTCCTGGTAGTCTATGAGAATTTGTCATTTATTGTAAATTTCTTTGTGATCCAACATAGCATGAGGCAGTCTCAGTTCTTTGTTTTTCCTTTTTAGGATGGATACATGCAGTTTATACTCCAGTAGATTCTCTGGTGTTTGGTGGAAATATCCTGCATAGTTTTAATGTTCCCATGCAGCTTCGCATCTATGAGATTGAGGACAGAACAAGGGTAAGGATGCTTGATTCTCTTTTTAAGTGTTCAGTTCCTTGTGTCAGTATCATGTATAAAATTCTTTTCATGTCCCTTTCTGAAAGATGGGAACTAGCAGTATCTCCCATGTCACAGAGGTTGGAACAAGAAAGATAAATGCCAGGCAACAAGGCTTCCAGAGCTGCTGCTCTTGGTGGGATTTGCTTATTTATTTGCCCCGAGTACCCAGTGACTAGTCACTATTGAGACTCTTGTCTGGTTGTATGTTCCCCTGTTAACATGCAGTGTTAACACCTTTCCTGTTGAATGAAGACACTTTGACCTTTAGAGTACACCTTTCCCCTCCTGGTATGGATGAATGACCAGACAGAACTAGCGTCATTCTGCTGGCCAGAGTGGAATGGGAAAGCCATACAAAAGCTGTGCAAGGGAACTACATTATGCTTTGTTTGCAATCTGCAGAGCTTCTATATCAGCTGCACATTACTGCAGGAGAAACTTTGTTGATTGTTGGTGGATGGGGTGTGTTGAGTCTGCACATCTGGCCAAAACACCACATAGTGGGGAGAGTATCAGGTCATGAAGTAAGTGACTGTGTGGATACTACGAGGATGAGAATTGGGTCTTCGGTTAGGATCCCAATTAATAGCTATAATTATTTTGTAGCTAGATAAAATAAGACTAATACAACTCTTAAAGTGTCATTCTAATTGCCCTGTGTGCCTTTTTTTAGACTGCCACAATATTGTAGTGCAGATGTTCAACGATGTAAGTTTCTTGCCATAGGATTTTGCGAAGGCCAACACTATAACAAGGTTCAAAAATAATTAGATAAAAGTTGGAGACAGATAAACGTCTGTCAGTAGCTGTTAGGCAGAATGGGCAGGGATCGTGTTCCTAGCTTCTGTTTGCCAGAAGCTGGGAATGGGTGACAGCAGTTGGATTACTTGGTGATTCTCTATTCTGTTCATTCCCTCTAAAGCATGTGACACTGGCAACTGTCAGAAGACAGGATACTGGGCTAGGTGGACCTTTGGTCTGGCCAAGTATGCTTGTTGAATTATTATATACAGTTCCAAAACAGTTATCCTGGTATAACCTCTTGTGTGGACAGTCTCATTCCAATGTAAGATTGGTGTTGATCATTTTAGCTTATAACACTTTTGAAAAGATCAGAGGGGTAACTGTGTTAGCCTATAACTGAAAACACTTAAAAAAAAAAGGCAACTAGTTCTGTGGCATCTTAGAGACTAACAAAACATGTAAATGGTATCATGAGCTTTCTTTGTACCCATGAAAGCTCATGATACTATCTGTGTTTTTTGTTAGGCTCTAAGTTGCTGCAGAAATGTTAATTGTTTTGAAAGAATTTAAGCTGAATTAAACTAAATCATTCTGATACTAGAATAAGTGTCTACACCTAAAGAGGGTGTGTTAAGTGTTAATTGTACAAGGAAAACTGGTAAAAGTTTTCCATATAAACAAGGCCTATTTAATATTGTAATTTAGTGAACATGAGCAGTGTTTTCAGTAGGGTATGTTCCTTGCCCCTACAGGCTTTCAGTCTAAATCAGACACTTATAACAGAGACAAAATATGCTGGGTGAGTCTCTGGCCTGAATTGCATACACTTTGCTTTGTGACACTACATCAGAGTGGGCAATAATTTTTTCCTAGGGACAAAAATGTTTAAACTGGCCCTGGGCTGCACTGGAAGGGGTGGGGCCTGAAACAGAAGGGACAGGGCCAGGATGCTTCCAGGTTTCCCCACCCACAGACCATGATTCGTCTGGGGGTGGGGGAGCCCTTTTGACTCATTAAGCACCCATGCCTCTGGCAGTGGGAAGAGAGTTCTCATGCTCCCTCACTCCCCGGCCAATCTGGTTGAGGGTGTGGGAGCATATGAAGCTTCCTCCCGCCCTGCCAGGAGCATGCCACACTTCTAAGTGCCGTGTGCTCCTTGCAGGGTTGGGGCAGGACAGAGGAAACTTTGTGCACTCTCCTTGCCCCCAGACTCTGATTGGCCTGGGGGGCAGAGGAGTGTGCGAAGCCTCCTCCCGCCCAGCCAAGAGCATGTGATGCTGTGCTTCTGGCAGGGTGGAGGACATTTCTTGTGCTGCTCCCCACCCCAAGGCTGGGGAAAAGTGCACAGCCTATGTGGGCCAGATCAATCTGCTTGGTGGTCTGGATCTGGCCTGTGAGGCCTTTTTGCCCACCCTTGCTGTACATGGTTTTCTTTTTTTCCAGTGCAGCCTCTCTCATTCCAGTGTTCTGACACCAGGACATTAGTCTCTTACTTTCCATAAGATGTAGAGGATATTAGGTCTTATATTGCTAATTGTTGCTAGAAAATATTGGTTTCCTAGGGGGATTATGAATGTATAGAGGGAATCTGTTTGGCACATAGGAAGGAATTCTCAGTGAGAGAGGTGGCATGACAGAAATGGACAGTTTGAGAGAGATTGAGGCAGACTAAAGAGAGTGAGGGTGGGTGTAGAAGCAATTAAAAACAGAGACAAAGACAGGAGTCAAATTGTGCATGACCTTGATGGGCAGCACAAGAGGCATGAACTTGATGTGAAAGGTAGTGGACAAATTCAAATAGGAGAGTGCCAGGAGGGGAACCTGATCTTAACAACAGCATTTGGAATAAAATGGGGGTGGTTAGATGAGCTGCTGAGAAGCCACAGAAAAGGAGTTGGTTGTAATCAAGGCCAGAGGTGAACAAGGGCTGGAAAAGGGTATTTGGGATGGCGCTGAAGGGAAAGATTATTTAGAGAAATTGTAGCAAGACTGACAGGGTAGATTGGAGCCTGGATGAAAGCAAAAGGAGAACCATATGACCCTAGGTGATGAGAATAGAAGAGTTGTCAACATTAGTGTAGACAAGGGGAAGAAGAGGGGGCATAGAAAGAAAAACAGAAACCACTAAGTGTGTGAATGATTTATTTAGAAAGCTATGTGAAATACTGAAAAGAGGCAAATAATATTCCTGAAGCAGTAGAAGAGTAGGAGAATAATTTTCATAGGGAGTTGAGTACCCACTCCGCCAGTAGACTCAATTGGAATTATGGTTGCTCAGCACCTCTGAAAATCAGGATCTTCCTTCCAAGGCAAATAGGGTGACTCTTGAATTTTCATATGTTCATCAGCATTACAGTAAGGAAGACATTGGGCAAGTCACAGTGGGCAGATATCTAATTTGCACTGAGAAGTTGGACACTTACCTGCCATTTTTACCTTCTGAAATTTTCTCTCATGTTTTTGTTTGGAAAAGGACACTTTCAAGTTTGGAAATTCACATTTTAACTTTTAGTCTTGTAGGTCTTTTCTCAGATAGCTTCTGCAAAGTACATGTTATTCTTCATCATTCCTCCTTCCTCCAAAATGTTTCATTGCTTATAAGGGAAAAAAAGTGACCGTGGCCCAGAATTCAAACAACCCTACAGCAACAAACTCAGCACTCACATGCAGCTATAAAACAATTGATTATACATGAATAATCCTATAACAGACATGTAAACAATCAAATGCTCATGAGTAACTCTATGAAAACAAAGATGTGTATGCAACCCTAAACTCAAACTCAGTTCCAATAAATCTTGACAGAAAAAATAAAATTCTTGTTTTTTTGTAAAATGTTGATTTTAAAAATATTGAAATCATTATACAAGTTTATCTTAAGAGTAAATGTTTTTAAAATAAACAGAATGCACTATTCAGTTTACCCTGTGGAACAAATATAGTAATTTCTTCTTTATTTGAATAATCCTCATTGAGCTGTATAGCCAGATCGTGTGTTATGTACTTGAAAGCGAGTTTGCCAGTGAACAGACTGCTGATGGGTTTCTCCTGAGTATTGATCTTTCCATTGTGTGTAACACAGAAGTAAATTACATGATGTGATTCACAAAGTAATTGCCACACTCAAATCAAAGTATAATTTGAGTGCATTTCCCCCTCTTGATTTTGCACAGAGCAATTTTATGGAGGTTTCACTGTGTTTAAACCTGCTATATAATGCTTAATCATCTTTGATTGCTGGTATTCAAAGCCATTTTTATGCTAGGTTCAGTTGTTATTGTCTTAGCAGCTAAGACAAGGATAATACATGGCTGAAATAATAACGCTGATTTAGAGTCCAATAACCTCCCCCCCGGCTCATACACTTGTCATGCTTAGTCTATCTTAATTTCTCATATCCCTGGGAGACTTTCTAAGAAGGTTATAGCCATTTAAAATAGTTTTTAAGGAGTAATAAAAAATCTGTTGTTGGGAACAGCTTCTAATGTGTAGTTGAGGTAAACAATTATTCTCTAGCCATGCAGTTTGTAGAGATTTTCATTTTGCAGTCTGGCTTTCCTAGAGGCCAATTAACAACAGCTAGTCAAATAGGCCAAGCTGTTAGCTTACTGCTAGACCAGCTTGCAGATAACTGCAAAACAGGCGGCCATGCAGAGATTCATTATTTTGGTTGGGGGGGGGGGTGATATGGCTTCAATATTACCAAAGGAGAAGAAATGTTAAAATATTCTCAGATGATCTAGATTTAGCCACATTAATGTATGTGAACCTGTGTGATGATACAAGCACTCAAAATATATACGTAAGGTGGTCACTCACAGATGATGGTATTTGCTACTGATTCTGTTTTCTGGAACCTAAAATTAAAATTTGGTAGATTATTTTTCCCCCAAATTAATTCAGATTTTTTAAAAAATGTGATCATAACAATTCAATGCAAGTAGGATACATAATGATTGTTAATAGACAGTGCTAGAAACTAATGCTTTCTAGGGGAGAACGTGCCTCGTGCTTGAGTTTCTTTTTTGTTTGGTTGGCTTTTTGTGTAAGTCTCTAAAATACTTTCACTTGGAACTGCAGAAATGATCGTATTCCAGAGGTAATTTTTCTCACTGTACAGGAATAATTAAAAATATATTCAGTGGATTGTAAATTATTAATAGAGAAGTTAGAGCTGGAAAACATCTATTAGGTTATCTGGTCTAAGCCCCTGCTAGTGCAGGATTTAATCTCTTGGCAGAAGATACATTGATAGTAAATTGTAAACTGACCTCAGATAACTTTTGGCTTCATATTTATTGTTTTTAAAGTTCATTTGACCTATGGATTTACAGTGGGAAAAGGTATAGACATGCACATCATACAATTCATATCCATTATAACTAATAAATACCTAGGAAGATCATAAATTATATACTCGATTTATACTTTGTATAAAATACATTTAAGATTTTTAAACCACTGTTAATTTTAGATTTACTTCTACAGCAAAAAACACTGTAGATGGTTGTACAGTATCTATTACTACATATGGTAGCTCTTACTTTTGAAGGTTTATAAAGCAGAGCCATCACAGGCAAATAGCAGAGGCATGGAGGGATTTGCTGTGGGTTGGAACATTGATAGCGAGGCAATTAGGAACTCAAATTGAATATTAAAGATTGATATACATAATGGGAGCACTGCATGCATTACTGCCTTGTCTTTCACATTGAATTAACATTGGTAACAACTAAATTTGGTGAAGCTCAGAATCTGTCAACAAATGTTGAGCAATGATGTCTTTAATATTCCCAGGCATGTGGCTGAAAACCTTTTGAAGGCTGAGGGGTGGAAGGCGGCTTCCTGTTTGTAAGTCAATTCTTTGCAAATTTTGTTTCCTGCAGTGCTCTCTTGGAAAAATTTGAGTTCCTTTATTAGCGTATATTTTAGCATGGCTGATTTCCCTTGTGTTCTGTAATAGTGATAAGTGACATGATCTTCTCTTTCTGACATGTAAACCATACCAAAAAGAAAAAAATAATTCTCCAATACTATAACATCTTGGGGTTGAATGTTATTCTCACATCTAGGTTTTGGTTTTTTAGAAGTACAGTGCTGTACAATAACAACATAGGGAATGTTTGGAATGATGCAGCAGCAATCAGCTGCATCATCACCCTCAGCAGCATTTGACAGCATCTGGGTTCAGATTTGCCAGAGTTTATGAGGTCTGAGTTTATGAGGTCTCAACTCTGGTAAACACTTTAGATTACTTATATTCTACCTTGCAATGTACTTGCTTTCCTTAATGACATGTTTTGTTGGTTAAAGTATGTTTCCCCTACAATGGAAGCAGATAGAAGGGTTTTTGATTGTCCACTCTGGGGGCAATTTTTAAATGTGGACATTTTAGCAGAATATCTAAATCCCAGAAGTGGATGCTCAGATCATTAGCCAGGTGTGTAAATACCTGTTTTGCACAGCATAGTGCCGATATGTGTTTCCAGATGCTGTATTTAGTCATTCTGTTTAGACTCCCATGTTAAAAGAAAATGGATTGCCTGTGATAATGATCCTTTCTGCTGCAATGCAGTTTTGTTAAAAGTGGGCAGACGCGTGTTAGACCTGTTGGTTAAGTGAGAAGTTAAACTGTATAGGATGTGTTGAGAATAGTTAAGAACATAATCATACGCGATGTATGTAAACAAGGTTTTATCTGGCCCACAAAATGCAAATGTAGTACCTACAAGAAGTAAGAACTGTGCAGTGTAAGTAGCTGTGCATGCAAGGTATATATGGCATTCGCGCACACACACACGCGCGCACACACTCCTAAATTGAAGTCTCCACAGTTTCTTCCTTTACCACATAGATGTCCTTTAGAAAACTGTTAGAGGGAAGAAAGCAGTTTCTCTTTCTTTTTAAATCATGCAATTAAATATAGTAGATAGTTCTGAGAACAGCTTCTAATATGAAAATGGCATGGCTGGGAGATAAAGGGAAGAGGGATATCCTGGTAGAATTTTTTTGTGGAGTCCCACTATTCTGTTTGATTCAGGGGAAAAGTTATTGACTACCAAAATATTAAGAGCAGAACAAAGAGGCCTTTTTATATATTTAATGTTTGAATGTGATATACAAACTATCACAATTTTGTTTTTGCTACATCAAATGGTGGTAATGTAAAGACCTGAGTAGACCAGATCGAGTTTCCAGAATGGCTCTTTTTAGGTAATAATACTGTTTTCACAAATCATGAAATAATTCTTAGGAAATCAAACCCTTATATATTTTAACTTGAATTCTAGTGACTAACATCTGTATGTGACCACCCTATGTTTATAAAGTAGATAGATAATATCTTAGGGTGCCATGCATCAGTTTCATGATTTCACAAGATCACAACTCTACCCCTCTCCAACCTCTCCCTCCAACCCAAGAGAGTACAAATTAGTGAACCAAGAAAAAAGATGCTATCCTAGCAGGCAGGCAGGCAGGCAGGCAGGCAGTCTCCTCATTTAGTATGCTGAAAGCATACAGTTCACTCAGCTCCCACCCTCTTTCCCCTCCCCCTCCTGCATACCGTTTGTGCTCTTGATAACATGATGAGAATGATGACTGGCCCTTGTGCTGCAAAGTTCTCTCCCTTCCACATGGATTGAAATCTCAATCTTGCTTTCAGGTGCATGCCAAATTCCGTTATCCTTTCTACTATGAAATGTGCTGGTATGTTCTGGAGAGATACGTGTCCTGTGTGACCCAGCGCTGCCACCTCAGCAAAGAATACCAGAAAGAATCAATGTTAATTGGTGAGTGAATCCTTTGAGTGCATATTCAGAATGGATGCTGGCACCTCAGGCTAGTCAATGCTTTGGCTTCTGCAAAGCAGACTGTAAATTAAATTGGAGAAATGTGGAGATCTTAATGAATTATTTCAATTATTTGGTGATGTAGATTTGAAGCTCAAGCATTCACTGAACTGCCATCCTTCTTTGAATGATATTTATTGGACATTTCCTTAGCAAATAAGTCTCAGAAAAATAATTTCAAATTTATTTATTTATTGGTTTCAGTAATATTTGAGTTGAGGTGATCTGCCAAACTGTTGCATTTGACACATTACCTTAACAGCCAAAAACATCTGCATTGCAAATGTGTTCTATTGAGTTGGATAGTTAGCACTTTTCATCTATAAAGTGCATTATAAAAAGCCACCAAATCTGTGTTTTGTTTTTTTTTAAATCTCTGGTTTTATTTATCTCAAACTGGTGACTAGTTTATTTTAAAAAATCAAATAAACTTACATTATCATAAGGAAAGATAAAGAAACTGTTAGAAAAATAGCTGAAAATGGACCATGGCAGAGATGGATGTATGAGATCCAAGTGGGAAAGTATCAAGGGTTGACACTGACATCAGATTGGAGAAAGCGTTATACCCTGAGCTTTAGCCTCGATATCAGTTTTATTTATTTTGTTTCCAAAAGGCCAATGTGCCATGTCATCTTGCTTTTAGACCCCGAAGGGCAGAAAGTAGCATAAGAATCAGCTAAGTCAGGCCGATGCATCTTGAAGTGGAGACCTCAAGATACCTAAAGCATCTGCATCCCACCCTTTTCCCCATTCCCATTGTGAATACCACATTTGGGAGACCTTGTGAAAGGCCAGCAGTCTGGATTGAAATGACCATCTAATGTATCATGACGTTTCTGTGAGAGGGGCTGCATGGGTGATAAATATCATTCTTTAGTGAGCCACGCTGCCAAAGAGAGAAGCTGTGGAGAAGCTGACTGTTTGCACAGATACTTTTAAGATCTGAAAGAGCTCCCTGAAGACCTCAGCATATCTGTATGGATGGGGGGTCCCATTCCGCAGCTTCTCTGTGGGCTATCAAACAGTTCCATTGAAGGATTGTTAAGTTAGGAACTCCCAAAGTATGCTGTGTGGCATGCTTAGTAACTCCTCGGTGGTTTTGTTCTGGAGAAAGGAACCCTTTAAAGAACCACTGACAAAACTGTCTGCCCTTGTATTCCCTGAATAGTAATTAAGCATCTCTTTGATATCAGAATGCTGGCATAAGAGATTATGTGCTCCAAAGAATGCCTGACATTGATGCAGGGTCGAGGGTCCTTAAGGTGTACAGTGAGATCAACATATTTTAGAATGAAAGAGGTGCATGCAGATGGGATGGTTCACAAGACTGAACATAAGATATGGAACCATCCTCATCTAAATCACCAGTATGAATCCAGGTCATCTCACTAGTGACTGCTGATGATTTGTTCTCCCATGCAGAATGTATCTCACTCATGTTGATAGCTTACAGACACTGGAACATCTGTACTACTGTAAAATCTCTTGTGTAACTGCTCTGTTCTTTGGCAAGTTCTCCCATTAACATAATTATCTACCCCCATTGACTGGTAATAGTTATTTCAGGGGGAGAAGCTCTCCTGCCAACATAGTGCTGTGCACATACCAGTTATGTCTGAGAAACTTTTATTTCTCAGAATGTGTGTGATTTTTCCATACCCCTGAACACCATAAGTTTTGCTGACATAAGTGGTAATAGTATAGATATTACCTTAGTTCAGTTCCTAGTGGTGAGCAGTGTTCCCTCCAATTTTCACCCCTGGCAGAATAATTTTTTTATATGCACCAGTATGTACATGATGTGTAATACATCACCTTCATATCAGTGCACGTAACAAAAATCATGTAACAGGTGAGGAGCCAAAAGGTTCGTAGTGGTGAGAGGAGGCTCAGGCTTGGGGCAGAAGGTTGAAGTGTAAGGCTGAGAGAGTTCCAGCTAGGGGTATGGGCTCTGCGTTGGGCCAGGGATAAAGGGCTCCGATCTGGAGCAGAGAGTTGGGGGTGCAAGGCTGAGAGGGCTCCAGCTGGGGATACAGGCTGTGGGATGGGACCTGGTTCAGGAGATTGTTGGGCTTGAAGGAGAGTGCTCCGGGGCCACTGTGAGGAGAGAGGACTCCCTCCCCCCCTGCTCTCTTTCCTTGCAGCAGCACTGTGGGGATAGGGAGAAACAGCACTTCTCTCTGCCCTGGTGGGGTTGGATAGGGGCCAGAGCCAGGTTGTCAGGGCTGGATGGAGGCCAGATGATGGCTGGGACCATGGGTCAGGTGCTGGATGAGGGTCCTGGTCAAGCAGTAGGGGTTGAGCTGCCACAGCCGGATTGGGGCTGGATTTGTTGCAGCAGGAGCTGCGGCTGGGGATGAATGGCGTCTGAGCTATAGGGGCTAGATGGGGGCCAGGGCAGAGCCTCCAGGGATGAGCCATGTGGATCAGGGTTGGGATAACAGGGCAGGATTGGGGCCCAGCCCACCATGGGCTGAGTTTGGAAGCAGAGAGAGCAGGGGACACTGCCCCCCTAGTCTTTTAAAAGAAGAATGAACAGTTCTTCCCTGTTCATGTTTTTGTTTCTTCAACAGGGAAGAGTGGGCAGGTCTAAGACAAACATGCTGAGCACATTCTGTCAGGAAGGACAGACAGGGAAAAAAGGGAGGAGGGGTTGCCTTGTATATTAAAAATGTACACACTTGGACTGAAGTGGAGATGAACGTAGGAGATAGCTGTGTAGAGAGTCTCTGGGTTAAGCTAAAAGGGGTAAAAAACGAGGGTGATATCATGCTAGGAGTCTACTACAGGCCACCTAGCCAGGTGGAAGAGGTGGATGAGGCCTTTTTTAAACAATTAACAAAACTATCCAAAGCCCAAGATTTGGTGGTGATGGGGGACTTCAACTATCCAGACATATGTTGGGAAACTAACACAGCGAGGCACAGGCTATCCAATAAGTTTCTGGACTGCATTGGAGACAACTTTCTGTTTCAGAAGGTTGAAAAAGCTACCAGAGGAGAAGCTGTTCTGGATTTGGTTTTAACAAATAGGGAGGAACTAGTTGAGAACTTGAAAGTGGAAGACAGTATAGGGGACAGTGATCATGAAATAATAGAGTTCATGATCTTAAGGAAAGGTAGAAGGGAGACCAGCACAATTGAGGTTATGGATTTCAGGAAGGCAGATTTTGATAAGCTCAGAGAACTTGTAGGTAAGGTCCCATGGGAAGCAAGACTGAAGGGAAAAACAACTGAGGAGAGTTGGAAGTATTTCAAAGGGACGTTGTTAAGGGCCCAAAAGCAAACAATTCCGCTGTGTAGGAAAGATAGAAAATATGGCAAAAGACCAGCTTGGCTTAACAAGGAGATCTTGCATGATCTCAAAATAAAAAAGGAGTCATATAAAAAATGGAAACTAGGACAACTAACAAAGGATGAATATAGGCAAGCAACACGGGAATGCAGGGGCAAGATTAGAAAGGCAAAGGCACAAAATGAGATCAAACTAGCTACAGGCATAAAGGGAAACAAGAAGACCTTTTATAAATACATTAAAAGCAAGAGGAAGACCAAGGACAGGGTAGGCCCACTGCTTAGTGAGGAGGGAGAAGCAGTAACAGGGAACTTGGAAATGGCGGAGATGCTCAATGACTTCTTTGTTTCGGTCTTCACCGAGAAGTCTGGAGGTGTGCCTAACGTAGTGAATACAAGCAGAGAGAGGGTAAGTTTAGAAGATAGGATACACAAAGAACAAGTTAAAAATCACTTAGGAAAGTTAGATGTCAGCAAGTCACCAGGTCCTGATGAAATGCATCCCAGGATACTCAAGGAGCTGATAGAGGAGGTATCTGAGCCTTTAGCTATGATCTTTGAAAAATCATGGCAGACAGGGGAGATTCCAGAAGACTGGAAAAGGGCAAATATTGTGCCCATCTATAAAAAGGGGAATAAGAACAACCCAGGAAATTATAGACCGGTCAGTTTAACGTCTGTCCCAGGGAAGATAATGGAGCAGGTAATTAAGGAAATCATATGCAAACACTTGGAAGGTAATAAAGTGATAGGGAATAGCCAGCATGGGTTTGTGAAGAACAAGTCATGCCAAACTAATCTGATAGCTTTCTTTGATAGGATAACGAGCCTTGTGGATAAGGGAGAAGCGGTGGATGTCATATACCTAGACTTTAGTAAGGCATTTGATACGGTCTCGCATGATATTCTTATTGATAAACTAGGCAAATATAACTTAGATAGGGCCACGATAAGGTGGGTGCATAATTGGCTGGATAACCGTAGTCAGAGAGTTGTTGTTAACGGTTCTAAATCCTGCTGGAAAGGGATAACAAGTGGAGTTCCTCAAGGGTCTGTTTTGGGACCCGTACTGTTCAATATCTTCATCAATGATGTAGATATTGGGATAGAGAGTACGCTTATTAAGTTTGCGGATGATACCAAACTGGGTGGGGTTGCAACTTCTTTGGAGGATAGGGACATAATTCAAAATGACCTTAGCAAGTTAGAGAAATGGTCAGAGGTAAACAGGATGAGGTTTAATAAGGAGAAATGCAGAGTGCTCCACTTAGGAAGGAACAATCAGTTCCATACATACAAGATGGGAAGCGACTGTCTAGGAAGGAGCATGGCGGAAAGGGATCTAGGGGTCATAGTGGACCACAAGTTGAATATGAGTCAACAGTGTGATGCTGTTGCCAAAAAAGCAAATATGATTCTAGGTTGTATCAACAGGTGTGTTGTAAGCAAAACTCGTGAAGTCATTCTGCCGCTCTACTCTGCACTAGTTAGGCCTCAGCTGGAGTACTGTGTCCAGTTCTGGGTGCCACATTTCAAGAAAGATGTGGAGAAATTGGAAAGGGTACAGAGAAGAGTGACAAGAATGATTAAAGGTCTAGAGAAGCCTATGAAGCCAGGCTTCATGAACTGGGCTTGTTTAGTTTG